AGATACCTAGTTCCTGCTGGGGATGCCCGGGCGGAGCCCGGAACACCCCCCAAAGCCCCCGGAGGGGCAGCGTTGTACGTAGGCTTCACTCTGGAAGGAGCGCACGAGGCGCCCGGCCACAGCGACACCCCCGGCGTACCGGGAGCACACATGTGACCATCCGATTGCCCCCACTGTAGCTCCCCAGGAACCGGTCCGCACGCAGGGATCCCGCCAGTGCCCTCACGGGCGCTGACGGGCTGCGGCATACGGCCCTCGGGTGGGGGTCCAGACCCCGCGGACACGCCGACGAACGGCGGCTCCCGCGGAGCGGCTCCCCCCAGGAATCTGCGTAGGAAGGCTGGCCAGCGGCCAACGATCCACAGACCCCATCGGTGCCGGCGACCGCGAACGGCCCCCGGGCTTCGGACATCCCAGCAGCAACGGGCACCCCCGGGCGTGTTTAAGCCGGTGCACCCCTGGACTCAGGAGAAACACCGGCGGCGCAGAGGAAGACCACGGGCTGGGATGGGCGGGCGCCCCCGTTCCTGAAGCGAGGCCCTACTGAAAGGGCCTAGGCGCTACCAGTCACAGAAAGACAGCCTACCTGACATGGAAGAAATGCGATCAGGCTTCTGCCAGCTGTGAGCTGACTTCTGCCTTCCACATAGTACCACCGGCTACCTTTGGCCCATTGACACGCGTGCAAACGTTCCGTGGGCAGAAAGTGAATCTGGGGGGGGTGGTTTACTATGGGGTGGTCCGTGCGTCATGCCGTTTTCCCATACAAAGTGGGCCACCCAGGTTCGCCCCCTACCCGGGCCATAGCTGGACTTAGCGAAATTCGCGATCGTTCCGCCCACCACCTCGACCACCCAACCCACACCACCCCATCCGCCATCCTCTGCTCGATCCTACCTGCCCCCCCTGCGCGTTCCGACCAACCTCCCTGCTTGATACTAACCTGCCCGCCCACGCTGGTCGGTCGACGGCGCCGTCCCGCCGGGAGAGAGGGGGTCCCCAGGCGAAAATCTATATGGTGGCATCCCGGTGGTCGTGGGCGGACATATATATATATGGAGGGTGGTGCACACACTTGGTCTGCACGGAGATCTACTGTCGTCCCGCCCTTCCCTGCACCGCGTCGCCCCCCCCCTGGCCCCGAGCCCAGGCGCGCGTGGGCCACCCACGCCCCTACGCATCCCCACCGCAGTACAGGGACCACCCCCCCGTGCCCCTCCCCGTTCGGGACCGGGTCACGTGACCACAGCACGGCATCAAAAAAAAAGAGGAACAGATCATGCCGACCTGCTCCTCCTCCCTTCCGTCCCCTGGGCTGCTCCTTCCACCCCCGCGCCCCAGCGCTCTCCCCTGCCCCCGCCCCCGCCGCTACACCCCCGGAGGGCCCGTTCCTCCCCGCGGGACCTCGCATCTTTCATGTTTCCCGGCTAACTGGTGAATCCACTTCGTCAGTATGTGCCCGTGGCCGGCGCTGCGGGCTGGCGCTCCCCCCCGGTAGGTCCCGGAGGGCCACGGGGCGCCTGCGTGCCCCCGCGGTGAGCGCCAGTCCCCCGGCCACCCCTGCCCTAGGGGTCGTCCGGCCACCTTCGGCCCATCGACACGCGTGCAAACGTTCCATGGGCAGAAAGTGAATCTGGGGGGGGTGGTTTACTATGGGGTGATCCGTGCGTCGGTCCCTTTTGCCATACAAAGTGGGCCACCCAGGTTCGCCCCCTACCCGGGCCATAGCTGGACTTGGCGAGATTCGCGATCGTTCCGCCCGCCCCTCAGGCGCAAAGTACCGTGTCCAACTGGCCAGTCTCACTCGACGTGGGACTGCCGTACCCACGTGGGCCACCCGGCCTCGCCCCCTACCCGGGCCTGGCAAAGTACCGCGTCCAACTGGCCAATCCCACTGGACGTGGGAAGGCAGGAGCGACCCGGGTAAGAACCCGGGTCCCATCCCAAGGCCCCCTCCAACCGCCCGGCGCTGCCGGGCTCGTCAGTGGGGGTGGTGTGTAAACACAACAAATCTAGCCAAGGATCGGGCTGACGCTCAGCGACTCGTAGCAACAAGGCTACTTGACCGCTTACACGACCCGCTTGGTCACTTCAGTCGTATGCAGAGGATTCATCCCCGCGCGAGGTGACATTGCAATTCGCCAGCCAGCCCCCAGGGGTTTCTCCCGGGGGGCCGTCGCCAGCCTGCTGAGGTGCATGGCCCGAAGGCCTATTCGTATCCAACTACGACGTGCGGGGCAACATCGCCGCGTTCCGGCACGGATTCTGACTTAGAGGCGTTCAGCCATTATCCGGCAGATGGTAGCGTCGCGGCACTGCCTGGTCAGACAGCCGCAAAAACCAATTATCTGAATCAACGGTTCCTCTCGTACTAAATTGAATTACCGTTGCGGCGACCTTCATCAGTAGGGTAAAACTAACCTGTCTCACGACGGT